AACATCCATTTGATGGATGAACATGTTATGTATGGCGGCTACAAGTACTCTAATGGAAGTCACTCTTGTTACAAGTGAAAAAGTATCAAAAAAGTCTAGTTCCTTTTTTGTTTAAACCCTTTCGCAACAAGTCTAGCTTTATATTTTTCTTTGGTTCCATCCCATTTAAGTTTTTTCCTCAAAACCCGTTTACATCTTATTGTTTTACAACTAAGAGGTAAATCTACAAATTTCCAAGTTCTATTAGAAATCAAAGAATCCATTTCATCATTAATAGCTTATTTCCAAAAATCAGAATCAAAAGAAGCTAAAGCTTTTTGAAAAGACAATGGTACTCCATCTACATTATATATATATAATAATAATTTGAAGGTTAAATCCCTATTTTGGTCCCTGAACTATTGTACGAACCCCTGATTTGTTCCTTGAACTAAAGAAATCCCTAATTTGGTCCTTGAACTATTGTACGGACCCCTAAGTTGATCCCTAAACTATTGTACGGACTCCCAAGTTAGTCCCTAAACTATTGTACATATGCCCAATTTGGTCCCTACTGTTTACCAATTTAACCCCAACTTGGTCCTTTTGTTAAATAATAGCTTAGGGACCAAATTGAGGCGAAATTGTAAACAGTAAGGACCAAATTGGGGGTCTGTACAATAGTGCAAGGACCAACTTAGGCCAAATTATAAATAGTGGGGACCAAATCGGGGGTTTGTACAATAGTTTAAGGACTAAATCGGGGATTTCTTTAGTTCAGGGACCAAATCGAGGGTCCGTACAATAGTTCAGGGACCAAAATGGGGATTTAACCTAATTTGAACCAAAATCTCTTTCTTTGCGTGTTCTTTTACTTCTCCTAAGTTCAAAATCCATGTTCTCTTGATTTTGAAAATGAGATGAAACTGAGGAAATAGGTTCAAAATTATTTTGCTTTGAAAAATCATAACTCACATTTTTCTTAAGTTTAAAAGGAAATCTATCTTCAGGAAATATGGCATTTATAGACTCGATAGCAACATTATAATCAAGATCAAGGAATCTATATGCCTTGCGTGTAGTTGCGTATCCAATAAATGCACGTGTCCTATGTCCCATTTTCAAAAAAAAAAAGTATAATTATCAATTAAATTAAAAATATATTGTATTAATAATTAAGATTGTAATAATTACAACACCTATAATAAGTACATCAACACATTTTAATAGGTCTATAATATCTTTTTGACACAGATATGCATTAAGAACATATTAATAAAAAATTAGACTGAATTTTTTTTCCCCATTTTCATCCTCTTTCTCTTTTAGTAGCAGAATCCTTTCTTCTACAATTAAGTTGTGAAGTCAAATTGGTCTACCAAATCAAACAGCAAATCTCCATTTATGAACAAAATTTCTTTTTTGATTTTTATCAAGATAAATGATAAAAGTTTTAATTCTTACAAGAACAAAATATCCGTCCAACACAAATCACTTAGATAACATCAAACCAAATAAAAAACCATATTAACATTCTCTAATTGTCAATCATCCACTGAAGAAAAACAAAATCAAATAGACAAACTTTGAAACTAGTATTGTTTCCCCAAAAATCCTTAGTTGGCCTTAACCATGTGAGATTGAGAATTAGGCATGCCACTTGCTTTGTCTAAAAACAAGAAAACATAATTTTTTAGACGACCTTTCTCCTTTCCAACGACCGACCTCCAAACGAATGGTTGGAAAGAACGTCTATGCAATAAATTGTGCCCCAAACGATGTTGCAAAATAGAAGGTGGAGTTCTGTAAAATGGGTTACTAATTGATTTGGACACCTCCAGGGACTTTACAACCATTAAAGTGTAATAAAGGTTACAAATCCTAAAATGAATGCATTATCCTAAGGTAATTAATCTAACATGAAATGAATAAAAGAGAATAACATGCCACAAAAAATAAACTCGCAGACAACATACTGTGTAGGATTGCAGACACTAATTTTAAGTTCACGATCCACAAAAATTAAACTAATTATTTGCAAATTTAAAATAAAAATAACTAAACTACTTGGTTGCTAAAACTAAAGGAAAATCTATGAATTAATCAAAGTCTAGAAACTTGTAAAATTAAATCTGAATCTGGAAATTGAAATTAAACAAACTGCAAGTCCGGGAATTACACAGAAACAAAGGAAAGAAAGCAAAAGGCATTCAACCTATCTACATGAACAAATAACATAGATGAATCAATAAGAGAAAGAAAAACTAACCAAATCAACGGGACAGACCCATTTTCAAGGTTGATCTGCTTCCAAATGCTTAAAAACTAATCGAAGTTGCAATATTTGAGAGAAAATATGAACAAGAATGAAAAAAACCTAAACTAAAAATATGAACAAGAACAGGTCTTGCACTTTAATCTGGAAACTATGCTGAAATTTGGAAGAAACAGATTGAAAGTTGAAAACTACATGCTTTGGGCAATTTCTGTAGTGTAGGTCATGTAGACTGATTTTTTCCTCATGTTTTCCTTTTCTTCAGTTCTGGGAACCCTTCTCCATGATCTTCAGCTTTCTCCCACCATGAACGAGTAGTGAGGACTCCACGTCTGGGTAGTTGTCTAGTGGCTGACAATTTTTTTATTCAATCTTATCATCAATAAACCCTAGTAATATCCTTATCCTAAAAACCCTTAACTTCCTAACTTAAATCAAACTCAACCACCAGAAATTACTTTATCTTTTGCCACCTAAAATCCAGCTTCTTTAAAATTTTGTTTGGGCCCTTCAACTCTAAGCTAGCCTTGCCCTAATCCAGCTTGCTAACTTTCTTTGATAGTTAGGTTTCAACTTGACACGTGGCCTCATCCCATCTATTTATTTTTAGGTGAAAACAATGCCCCCCAACACTTGGTTTTATGGGAATAAATCCAAGTATTTAAATTTTGAAAGATTTCTTCTAAAATGCCAAAGTCCACGTGCACAATCTACTAAATTCTAGAATGATTGTAGCAGCTAACTTTGTCTAGGCACATCCATTTATCCACAGCCAATCATGGCCACTTGATCATTCTTACTCTCATTCAATGTAAAATAAATGAAAGAAACCCAATTTAATCATGCATAAAAAGAAATATGAACCTGGTTCAGACAGCTTTTTGGACTCCATTCCTCTTGCCCCCCAAACTCTGGGGTAATAAGGCCTTAGATAAATTCCATTGATTTTTCTAGGATAAAAGCTCTCCATCAAGTGACTCCAACTAGTAAGCTCCCCTTCTCAACAACTCATGAATTCGAAATGGTCCTTCCCAATTTGGGGACCATTTCCCAAACTTGTGATCTTTCATGCCAAAAGGTAAAATTGCTTTCCAAACTAAGTCACCAACTGCTAGATTTTTACTTTTCACCCTCTTGTTGTAAGACTAAAATTTTGAGCATTTGAGCTTGCAATTTATCCAAGGTTGTTAAACGTGTATCTTCAAGGTCCTCAAGCTCAAGCATTATGGCCTCATTGTATTCCACAGACTGGAGATTATGCTAAATCGCTATTCTTAAAGACCTGTCTATTAACTCCATTGGCAAGATTGCATCATGCCATATGTCAAAGCAAAAGCCATCATTTTCGTTGAACTCCTTGGTGAAGTTCTATAAGCCTATAGTATTTTAGACAACAATTCATGTCAGCTTATAGGATTGTCATCCACCATTTTTTCAAGTAGATTAATCACCACCTTGTTGGAAGCCTTCACTTGCCCATTAACTTGTGCATAATATGGAGTAGAATTAAGCAGTCAGAAGCCCATTTCCTTTGCAAACGCCTGCACTTGATGGCTGACAAAAATTGTGCCCTAGTTTGTAGTAATTGTTTCTGGCAGACCAAACTAATCAAGTCCATGGCCCAACCTCTAAATGGTCATGGCTTCACAATTGGATTGAGTTCGGAAGCTGGAACTCTTTGAAGTGGCGGCCCATGGACTTAACAAGATTTGCAGCCTTTAGCATAAGCAATACAATCTTTCAAGATAGAAGGCCAAAAGAAACAATGTCTACGAATCAACTAGCGCATCTTGATCCCAGCCTGATGTGCACCATATATTCCTTTATGGACATTAGACAACATCTGGAAACTTTCATCTAGACCCAAACAACGCAGCAACAGTTTGTCATGGCCCTTTCTATAAAGCACATCCTCAATCAATACATAATTGAAAGCTTGCATCTTGGTTTTCCTAGACACTTTAATGCCCTGATCTTTAAGGTACTGAATAATTAAAAAGCACCAATCTGTTTGGGTAACATCAATGCTGCAGGTTGAAATTGTCATGCCACACTAATGAATTGATAGCAAACTGTGCTTTTTAACTATTACAACTTTCTATCACACCTTTAGGAATTCACAGAACTTAAGCAATCTGGGCCATTTTTGTTGGCTTTCTAATTCTCGTCTCTAGGCACATGTCTGATAGACATATCAACATATTCTTCCAGTAATTGCACAAGCAAAGCAAAATAAGGGGCCAAAGTAAGGCTGGTGCATTTGTACTCACCGGACAACTATTTCAAAATTAGTTATGAGTCCCCTATGACCTCAATCATGGATACCTTAAGCTCCACTAACATCTCAAGGCTAATAATTAGGGCTTCATATTCTGCTTGATTATATATGCAATTGAAATCCAGTTGGAATGACATCTGTGTTTTAGCCTAGATAAGGAGATTATCATGACCCCAGCTTCAGACATGGCTTCTTTGCTAGAACCATCAAAACTAAGTTTCCAAGAAATTAAACTTATTAAGAACAAGTTAATCCCCTTTTCTTCATCTACTTTCACTTCCAAACATGGATTACTTGCAAGAAAGTCTGTTAGTGCCTGCCCTTTGACAGCCTTTTGTGGCATGTATTTTAGATTAAATTCAAACAAGCCCAAAATCTATTTACCTATTCGGCCTCTTAGCAAAGGGTGAGACAACATATATTTGACAACATCAACCTTAGCAACCACATAAACCTCAAAATAAATCAAATAATGTCTTAACTTTATTACAGCAAAAAAGAGAGCAAGACATAACTTTTCGACTGAAGAATATTTGACTTCAGTCTAGGTCAAACAACTACTCAAATAATACACAACCTGCTCCTACTTTCTATCATTTTCTTGCGCAAGCAAACATCCTATGGACTCATCTACGGCAGATATATACGAAATTTAAGGTTTATTTTTCACAAGTAGTACAAGCACTAGTGGTCTAGACAAGTACCGCTTTATTGCATCAAAGGCAGACTGGTGCTATTCTTCCCATTTAAAATCCAACTCAAACTTGAGTTTCAGCAGAGGAGAAAAAACTCTAGTTTTCCCAACCAAGTTAGAAATGAAATGTCTTAAGAAATTAACTTGGCCAAGAAATCTCTGCAACTCCTTCTTGTTTTGTGGTGGTTGAGCCTCAATCATAGCCTTGGCCTTATTTCTGTCAACCTCCAGACGACGCTCATGCACCAAGTACCCAAGGAAATTACCTATAGACACTTCAAAGGCACACTTTAATGGGTTCATTTTTAGGCCATGCTGTCTCATCCGCTCAAAGGCCTTCCTCAAGTGGATTAGGTGGTCTTCTTCCTCATGCGACTTCACCACAACATCATTAGTGTAGATTTCCATGAATTTACCAATCATATCATTAAAAATTGCATTCATGGCTCTTTGATAGGTGGCTTCAGCATTGTTCAAACCAAATGGCATCATAATATACTCAAAAGTCCCAACAGCACCTAGGCATTAGAAAGAAGGCTATCTTTGGAATGTTTGCTTCTGCAATGAAATTTAGTTATACCCACCATGACCAACCATGAAAGATAAAATTTTGTGACAAGCTACTCCATCAACTAGCAAATCTGCAATTGGCATTAGATACTCATCCTTTGGTATGGCTAAGTTCAAGTTTCTAAAATCAACATAGACTCTTAATTTTCCATTCTTTTTCAACACTAGGACCACATTTGATAGCCATTCTGCATACCTGCATATCCGAATGAATCCAACCTTGGCCAATCACCCAATTTCTTCTTTTACCTTCAAGGTGTCCTCTGTAGACATGCGTCTCGGCGACTATTTATACGACCTGAATCCATCTGCAATTGGCAGTTTATTTTCCACCAACTTATGATCTAGACCTAGCATTTCTAAGCAATCTCAAGCAAAACAGTCTTTAAATTCGTGCAAATGTCTAACAATTTGATGTCGTGTTTACATCTCAACAGAGCCACTGATAAATGTTACCTTTAGCTCACTTTCAGACCAAAGATTAATCTTTTCCAGTAGGTCCTGAACTTCAGCTTTCAGATTATCCAGTTTGGCTGGGGCAAAAACCAACTCCTCCAAAGCTATTTCATCACCTGGGGGTCTGCTTCCTCACCTTCATGGACAATTTCAGACCTATCCGCCTGTACTGCCTTTTCAGCAAAGTAGGTTGTTAATTTCTTTGTTATCTCCAACACGACCTTTTCTTTTTCTTTTCTCATACAAGTTTGTTTCATTAGATTTCTTCAATTTTTAGTTCCCTCATCGGCCTATAAGGAATTATTGCTATTGGCTGAAGAAGTTCATCACAAACTTCCTCAATGACACACTTTGACAATAATGGTCTACTGCATGTTGTTTTCCTAACTAGCTTCCCAAAAAACCGAATGGTCTTAATGTCTTCTTCATAATACCTCACCTCCACCAAGTGGGTGTTGGTTGAAAAAGGCTTATCATCTACAAACACCACCTCAGCCTTGCCATCAATCTAGAAAATTAGCTTTTTGTGAAGTGTAGAAGGGACACACCAACAGGAATGAATCCAGTCACACTCCAAAAGTGCATTGTAAGTAACAACAATGTCCACAATAAAAAACACAAACATCAACATCTTATTTCCCACTGTTAATTCAACAGACAGCACACTCCTTGAACGATTCACCTCTCTTATAAAATCACTAATTATAACCTTGGTATTCACTAAATCGTCAAGTGACTTGCCTGTTTTGTAAAGCATGCAAGTTGGAAGGACATTGACTATAGCTCCATTATCCACCAAGACAAGGTTAATTGGAGTACCATCTATATGAGCCTTGACATAAAGTGGCCTAATGTGTTTGGCCATCTTTTCTTCTAGTTTTTCAAGCACTATTTTGTCAGCTAAGTCCTCATCTTCATCACATTAGGCTAGAACCACGAATGCTTCTTTTTCTATCTGTTTTGAGAACTCATAGATGGCTGGTTTCTCCTCACTTTTGGCTTGGAAAACTAAGGGTAACATCAATACCAGACATGACAAATTCACTAAAAATTTTCGAAATGGATACTATCATCTTCTTTTGACCCGCCACCAAGATTTCCAGATTGTTCCTATGCTTCAAAAGTTGCTTTCAACACATTGTGTGGACCCACAATGACAGATGCCACCTTTGAAGAAGCTGGATATTAGTCTTCCCCTTCTGATTTGTAGCTTGCTTTTTCTCTTTTCTCACCCACACCATGTTCCTTTTGGCAAGTTTGCATGGTTAGCAAGATGAACTTCCCTCAGCCTCTACGTGGCTTCTATTGCCTTTTATGCTCCTCCACTCTCTTACGCTGCAGTCTGCACCTTAGGGTTCTAGGATTCTGCGTTGGAAATTTTGGATGGCTGACTTTCTCCCATCGTCTAGAAGGTGACCTAAGTGGTGGTTTGACCATTCTTGGAGATTTGGCCCCAACTGAATGAGGTCTGGTCCTTTTTGGGCTAAAGTTCCTAATCACAATGATCTTTCCTTGCCTCTTTGTCGATTTGACCGACATTCCTATTAGGTCTAAACCTCTGTGCTTTAATAACCCATCTCAGGTCCTCAGCAGCACGATTCCTTTGAGCATAAGGCAGATTATGGTTTCTAGCAATGCTCCTCAAGTCTACAACATTCACACCAACAAACACAACTGGAGAAGGATCCGCATTTACTCCCATGGTTTCCTTTGCCTTGTCTAGAAATTTCAAGATGCCTTTGTCAATCTTTTCTTGCAAGACATTACAAAAAATAAGACAATTATCAATGAAATGTTTCCAAGAATTATGATATTTGCAATAATCTCTAACTCCAATTTCAACCGCTATCGAAATTTTATGTCACAGCGACAGCTTAATCAGACCATTCTTTTTAAGGTGGTCAAATATATCACTAGCTTTTGACATATCAAAAGTATATTGTTTTTCAGCCTCACTAACATAACATCTCATAGATGTCTTAGGCTAGTGGGTTGGTCTGACAAGGTCTAGACAGACAATAGGCTTATCTGTAACCACCTCAACCACATCAAGATCAAAATTAGGGTCACTATAATAGGTTCCATGTGATGCAGCTTTCTTCTGAATGTCTTCCTTTAGTAGATTTTCATATCAAGCCACTTTGTAAGACAACTCATAAAAGTCTCGGAATCCCATCCCCTCAAATTTCTTTCAAAGCTTAATGTCCAAACCACTCTAAGCCAACTTGACAAATTCCTGTTCTAAGAGTGCAACTCGACATTTCAGCCTGACTCTCCGAAACCTAGCAAGGAGCGCCTCAAACGACTCCCTAGGCTCTTGGGTTAACCTGGACAAATCTACCATAGACACCTCAGGTTCACAGTGATAGAATTGGGTATGGAACATTTCTACACTGTACCAAGTTCTCGACAATCTTTCATCTTCACCAGAAGCTTTGAGGATCAAAGAACAAGCAATCACTAACCTCTCTAACCTTCTTAGCAAGAGAACAAGGTTAAGGATCTTCAAACACTGGTTACTCAGCTGAGACCCTTTTTCTCCCTTATCCCCAAGGCTAAAACAGGCAAAATCATCAAGGGAATTGTTGATTGTGTTGCTAAAATACATAGGACATCTGAGCTCCAAATTGCCCTTTATAAAGAAACAACACAATGGGCTCATGAGGAAAAGCGTACATTTCTCAGGCAGCGTATCGAGGCAACAAACCCAAATCTAGGTTTGAGAAAGAAAAAAGAAGGGAAACGAGAGAAAGAGAGAACGAATAAGAAAAAGAAAGAAGAAGATGAGCAGGGAAAGGAAGATGAAGTTAGAGAAAGAAAACCCAGATCTGGGTTTGTAGAGGTAAAGGAAAAGGGAAGGCAAAAGAGAGAGAACGTGAAAGAGGAACAAGAGAAATTTTTTTTTTTTTTGGTGACATGGATGAAAAAAAAAAAGAGATTATTATTTTTAAATTAAATAAAAATGCCAACCCATAAAAAAAAGTGACTAATTATGTTTTTTTTTCCATGTCATTAGTTAAGAAAAAAAATTGATTTGCTAGCATTTTTATGAGCCACCTGTCATTTAACTAACAGACAGACCATTTTGGTATCAAATATGAAAGTTTAAGGATAATTTTGGTACTTTTTAAAGTTAAGGGACAATTTTGGTGCCAAAGTGAAAATTTGAGCGACCAAAATGGTACTTAAACCAAACAAGAATGACTTTATGAAGGGTCGTACAGAAAATGGAACAATACCAGAGAGATTGTCTGGTGATGAGATGCATAGTCACATCCATTGGCTGCCTAATATACTATTTGGTAAGCCACCTCAAAAATAGGGAATTCACGGATTTGGTGAAGTGCACAATTGGGTTAAAAAGAGCATCTTTTGGGAATTACCATATTGGCACACAAACTTGATTCGACACAATTTAGATATCATGCACTGTGAGAAAAACTTTTTTAACAATATCCTTCATACAGTAACGGATGACCCTATGACAAAAAATAACATAAATGCAAGACTTAATCTGGAATTGTATTGTAAAAGGAAAAGTCTACACATACCGAAAACATGAGTGAATTTGGGTAAAAAACCAAAGGCCACTTATGTTTTTAGTAGGGATCAAAGAAAATCAATATGTCAATGGTTGAAGGTACTTAAACTCCCTGATGGATTTGCCTCCAATATATCTCGGTGTGTCAATATACAAGAGGCACGATTATTCGGTATGAAAAGCCATGACTGTCACATTTTCATGCAAAGCCTCATACCAATTGCATTTCGTGATTTAGTATCAAAACAAGTTTGGGAGCCACTTGTTGAGATTAGTGAGTTCTTTAGGGCCTTGTGTGCTCCGGTGATTCAGGTCAATGACATAGCAATATGGCATGAGAGGATAGTAGAAATTATTTGTAAGCTAAAGCAAATCTTTCCACCTTCGTTCTTTGACAGTATGGAGCATCTTGTAATCCACCTTCCATACGAGACTCATGTAGGAAAACCAGTGCAATTTCGATGGATGTATCCATTTGAGAGATAAATATAATTAATGTATAATGTATGAAAATAAATATAATTCCATATATGATATTTTGTTGCATTGAGGTTAGAATACCAATTTGGTACTTCAACTTTCAATTTTATATCAAAGCTAACATTGAACTTAAAAAAGAATTCAAAATGGTCCTTGAAAGGACCATTTTGACACTTTTTTAAATTTTGAGGGTATATTTGATATAAACTTAGAAGTTGAGGTACGAAATTAGTATTTTAACCATAACTTAATTTTGTAATAATTCTTGGTGAATCAAGCGAATGCATTGTCTTAAGTTGACATTGAAAAACAAAGTGCATTCTCAAGCATCCATATGTGAAAGTTACATAATGTCTAAGATCACAAATTTTATCTTTCATTGCTTTGATGATGGAGTACATAGTACAATTGATAATCCCCCTAGGAATATTGTTGTTGGATTTGATGGTAATAGTGGCCTATCCATCTTTAAATGTGTTGAAAAACGTATTGGTTCCAAAATTGGAAGACATTGCTTGACGGTAAAAGAACGCAAAGCTGCTTCATATTATGTGTTAATGAATTGCGAAGAATTGCGCAGATGGATCAGGTAAAAAACCTACACTAATATCTTTAATTTGTTATATTAAGATTCATTGAAATTAAAATACTAACAATATATGAAAAACTATTATCATATTTTCTAGTTTATTTGAGAGAGAACAATGTCAAAATATGAATCCTCAACAAATTCAAGCAAAACGAGAGAGAGACCTTGTACCCTAGTTTGAACGAGCTGTGAGTATTTAATAATATGACTATTTAATAATATGACTATTCAATTCCTTAACACATATATGTTATTTCTCTTCAAATGTATCTAACAGTTTCTTCTCCAATCTATATATTTTAGGTAATTAGTGGTGAGTTCATTAATGTCCATAAGCATATCAAAGGTTTATCCAACGGTCCAAAAAATTATGTTTCTTGTTATAATGGATATATTGTCAATGGATTTCGATTTCACACTACCCTCTATGGTAGAAATAAGCGAACAATGAATTATGGTGTCTGTGTTGTCGAATCTATTGTACTGAATCAGATTATGATTTTTATGGTGTGCTTCAAGAAATAATTCAGATTGAGTACTATGAATCGATCCATCAACAAGCAGTTGGTTTATTCAAATGTTATTGGTACAAGATTCCTCCTGCTCAGGGGGTTCAAGTGGATCAAAAACATTGATTGGTTGACATTAATCCTACAAGATACCTTCGATCTTATGAGCCTTTCATTCTTGCTAGTCAGGCAAAGCAAGGCGAGGCAAGTTTATTACACACCATACCCATCTATTAATCATGAAAGAAGGGGATGGATTGCTGCACTTAAAATTAAGGCTAAGAGTATCATTAAGGCTCCTGAGAATAAAGATGATTAACAAGAAGAATTGGCACCATATTTCTAAGACGATGAGCCTCCTATTCCTCAACAAATAAATATTGATGACATTGCTTATGAGCCTATGCAATATTTTGATAGGAGGTTTATTGAAATACATGAAGAAGCTGATGTTGGGGAGTGGATTAGGGAAAAGGATGAAGAAGGAAAATGGGAAGATTTTAAGACATCAGAAGAAGAAAACATAGAAACAAATGTTAAGGAGAATGATAGTAGTGATGAGTAGGCAATAATATTGAAACTATCGAAACTTATTATTATATTTATGGTTAATACTTGCTTGTTTGTACTTTTATAATTATATTAGTTGTATTGTATGTTATTTAATTTAAAATTGTATAACATCAATATTACTTTCAAGTTAATATTTGCTTATTTATCCTTCTATAATTGTATTTGTTGGAATAAAATTTATACATTTATGTTTTTATCATATTATTAATTTTATATTTTTTTAATATTTATATAATTTTTTTATTTATATTAGTTATACTGTATGTTATTCAACTAAAATATAATTTGATTATTATTTGCTTATCTATAGAAATTAAAACTATTTTGGTTTTTATTGTGATATTAATAGTAATATATTTATTGTGATATTAATAGTAATTTATTTATTGCATTTAAATTACTTTATTAATGATTTTTTTTTGTATTTGTTATATTTTTTTATAGTGGATTGCCGTAGTTCTCGTTGTACGGAGGCTATAGATTCCACCCAACCACTGTAATGGCCAAATCTATTTGACCTCCAGAGACGAGTTCAGGAGGAGATTCCTACTAATGTGGTTCTAGAGACTCCAGCTTTATATGCTGATATACAGGTCAAGTCTCCCAATGATAAAGAAATACTTGTGGCTACCCACCAGCAGAGACAAGGACGGGGGCAAGCTAAACCCGTGCAGATGCCTACAAATGGGACGAAGATCCCATTAGAGTTAGATGAGTTTGGTGGTTTACCACAACAGGTCAGATGACAAATTGTGGTCCAGTTGCAGGAGAATCACCCAGCTGTTTACACATCATGGGGACAGGTCCTTGCTAAGCATCGGGACATGTATTAGAATATATTATGTGTACGCCCTAAACACTTAATTTCTATTTACAAATTAGATATTTTGAATTTCTAACTTCAAATTTTAAGTAATTTGAATTTTTTTTATTATCATTAATAATTGTTTATTAAATTAATTATTTATTTATATTTCTATTATTTTTAGCAAACATATGAATTGGATCCTACAATTGATAAGAATGTAAACGATTTTATGGAAAATGATGACAAGGATCAAGTTCAAGCATGCACTTAGTGAGTTGAAAACTAAGTGTGCAAAGAGAAACTTTCAAGTTAAGCCTCCATATATGAATCTAGAGTTATGGGCAAGGCTTGTTCATTTATGGACTGAGGTAATGGAGTAAATTCATGTGTTTTTTATTATTTATTTTTTAATTTTCAATTGTAATGTTTAATGTTTTTATCATATTACTAATTAAGAAAATATATTTGTTCACCACTTTTACAAGATGAGGGTCATTTGAGAAGGTCAAATCCTGCAAAGGCAAATCAAGCAAAAGGATCGAGGGTGACGCATACCAGCGGTTCAATGGATGTTAATGTTTATAGAAAGAAAATGGTATAAAAGTTAACATATTTTTAATGAATAATTAATGAACTATGATTTATAATTTATTTTATATTGATTTTAATATTGTCTCTTCTTTTTTTTTTTTCTTTACAACAACAAGCAAACCCCGAAGGTTGTTTATCGATATTTCTTAAGCTCTACACCAGTAGAAGGTAGCATAAAGGAAAAGGAAAAGACCAACTGCTTGTATATTGTAATGATGAGGCTCAAGAAATTGGTTTAAGTTCTAGCATTTAAGGATGACCCTGATGAACCTAAGACACCACAAGATATTTAGGTTTTCATATTTGAATTAAACATTTGTATTCACTTTGTATTTGT